CAGGAAGTATGGGAAGTTCTCTGCATGTACGCTCAGCTGAATGCTAAAGATGGCACATAACTGCATCTGGGTTTTCTAATTGTAACATGTATTAGAAGCTAGGTATTGCAGGGGAAAAAGTGAAGAAGATGCACTACTGGGCCCACAAGGACTCACCCTGTGAATATATAAATCTAGTGGGCAAGGAAATTTAGACCTGGGTATAAACTCCAAATGGATTGGTAATGTCTAGTTAATCATTATGATTAACCTCTCTTTGAGTCTACAAGGGCAAATACAAATTCATTAAGAACTTAAGAAAAGAGCCAGGGGGGCTGGGAAGATGGCTCAGTGGTAGAGCGCTTGCCTTGCATGCATGAGGCCGTGGGTTCGATTCCTTAGCACCCATAAGCAAAAAAAAAAAAAAAAAAAGGCAGAAGAGGCGCTGTGGCTCAAGTGGTAGGGCGCTAGCCTTGAGCTGAAGAGCTGAGGGACAGTGCCCAGGCCCAGAGTTCAGGCACCACGACCAGAACAAAAAAAAAAAAAGAGGGCTGGGAAGGTGGCTCAGTGGTAGAGCGCTTGCCTTGCATGCATGAGGCCCTGGGTTCGATTCCTCAGCACCACAAAAAGAAAAAAGCCAGAAGTGGTGCTGTGGTTCAAGTGGTAGAGTGCTAGCCTTGTACTGAAGAGCTGAGGGACAGCGCCCAGGCCCAGAATTCAGACCTCACGACCGGACCCCCCCCCCCCCAAAAAAAAAAAAAGAAAGAAAAAGAAAAGAGCTGGGCTGGGCACGGGTGGCTCATGCCTATAATCCTCTCTACTTAGGAGGCTGAGATGTGAGGATTGAGGTTCAAAGACAGACCGGGCAGGGCAGGAAAGACCGTGAGACTCTTATCTCTAATAAACCACTCAGAAAACTGGAAGTGGTGCTGTGGTTCAAGTGGTAGAGTGCTCTCCTTGAGCGGAAGAGCTGAGGGACAGTGCCCAGGCCCAGAGTTCAAGCCCCATGAGTGACTCCCCCCTCCCCCCCCCAAAAAAAAGAGTCAGGTGCTGTTGGCTTACACCTGTAATCCTAGCTACCCAGGAAGCTGAGATCTGAGGATCATGATTCAAAGCCAGCCCAGGCTGGAAAGTCCATGAGACTTATCTCCAGTTAACCACCAGAAAATTGGAAGTGGTACTATGGTTCCAAGTGGCAGAACATTAGCCTTGAGCAAAAGAGCTGAGGGACAGTGCCGAGGTCCTGGGTTGAAGCCCCATGACTAAAAAAGAAAAGCATTCCAGGATGGAGGAAACTCATTTCCTTCCTTCCATACCACATAGAGACTCACACATACAAATTAGAAATCCAGCTGAAATGCAGCTGTGAGGAGGCTGGACATGCAGGAGAACCACTATGAGAGGACTCAGGCTCCAGGAGTTGAGGGTACTCGGGCTTCTATAAACTCATAGCAAATGCTCTTTTCAGTTTTCTTCTCTCGTTGGAAGGTAGCCTAGGGCCCACTTAGCTCAGCTGTAGCTTGTTGTATTCTGGTCTCATACTATCCCTTAGAGCAAAGGTGGGGAACTTTTTTTCTGGCAAAGACCATTTGGATATTTATAACATCTTTGCAAACCATACACAATTATCAGGCAGGCAGCTGATGAGAACATGTGAAAAGTATAGCATGGATCCTGTCATGGCCAAGTAATTTCAAGGGCATCAATGAATGAATGAATGAATTTTTGTGCATGTCCCAGGATGTGAACTCAGACCCTGGGCACTGTCCCTGAGCTCATGTGCTCAAGGATAGTGCTCTAGCTCTTTGAGCCACAGCTCCATTTTCATCTTCTTGGTAGTTAAATTGGAGATAAGAGTCTCATAAACTTGCTTGCCCAGGCTAGCTTTGAACTGCAAGCCTCAGAGCTGGGCCTCCTAAGTAGCCAGGATCAAGGGCTTTACTATACATTCTGTGGGGACCACATGTTGGTCTGGTTTAATATTTCTTTCTTTCTTTTTTCTTTTTTTTTTTTGTTAGTTGTGGGGCTTGAACTCTGGGCCTGGATGCTGTCCTTCAGCTCTTCAGCTCAAGTGAGTGCTCTACCACTTGAGCCACAGTGGCACTTCTGGTTTTCTGGTGGTTAATTAGAGATAAGTCTCACGGACTTTCCTGCCCTGGCTACCTTTGAACCGTGGTCCTCAGATCTCAGCCTCCTGAGTAGCTAGGATTACAGGCATGAGCCATTGTGCCTGGGTTGGTTTAATATTTCTAAAAATCCAGTACATTTCTTCCTTTGATTATGTGTTTTATGAAGCTGCATCACAGAGAGAAACATCTACAATAACCTGGAACCCCCCAAAACCATTGGCTTACTGTGAACACTCTTCTGTAACACCTTGGGTCAACTGCGATCAGAATGTGTTTGGTTCTCAAATGGTCTCCAAATTCCCTGAATTCTGGGCCTGGGAGCTGTCCCTCAGCTTTTCAGCTTAAGGCTAGCACTCTACCACTTGAACCACAGTGCCACTTCTGGCTTTTTCTGCTTACATGATGCTGAGGAATGGAACCCAGGCCCTCATGCATGCAAGGCAAGCACTCTACCACAGAGCCACCTTCCTAGCCCCTGTTCTTCAATATCTTTTAGTAAGTTTCCTTATTCTAAATACATTTGAATGAAAACACTTTGGTTTTATTTTTTTACTTTTTTGTTGGTTATGGGGCTTGAACTCAGGGCCTGGACACTGTCTCTGAGCTTTTTCAGCTGAAGGCTAGTGCTTTACTACTTTGAGTTACAGTGCTACTTCCAGTTTTCTGGTGATTAACAGGAGATAAGAGTCTCACAGTTTCCTGCCCAGGCTGCATTTGAACCACAATCCTCAGATCTCAGCCTCCGGAGTAGCTAGAATTACAGACACAAGCCACCGGCAGCCAGCTAACATTTTATATTTTTAAAGATCCCTCACCTAGTATTATCTATATATTGACTGACAATTTACCAATGATCCAACAATGATAAAAATGCTTTTATTCTTAGTTCTAAAAAGGTGCGTAAAGAAATAGTAAAAGGGCTTACCTTCATTCAGACTGAGTGGCATGAAAGCAGAGACTTTGTCTTGCTCATCTGTGTGCTCTAGCTTCAACCAGTGTCTGGCTCAGTTGCAGTCATTTAATTTTTAATAAACAAGCATAATGCAGCTATGAGGTAGCAGTCTGCTCCACAAATATTAACTTACTTCATAATGACTCTTTGTAGTGGAAACTAGAATAACTGCCAAAGATGAGGAAACTGAGGCACAGAGAGAAGAAATAAATTGCCTAAGTTTTCATGGGCCACCATTCAAACCCAGCCAGTGTAGTTCCAGTCACACTGCTTCTCTGCCTCCCACTAATGCGGTATCTACAATAATTGGATTTATAGAGGAAGAATGCTTTTCTTTTTTCTTTTCTTTTCTTTTGTTGGTCATGGGGCTTGAACTCTGGGCGTGGGCACTGTCCCTCAGCTCTTCTGCTCATGGCAAGCACTACTCTACACTTGAGCCACAGAGCCACTTCCCGTTTTCTGGTGGTTTATTGGAGATAAGAATTTCATGAACTTTCCTGCCAGGGCTGGCTTTGAACCATGATCCTTAGATCTCAGCCTCCTGAGTAGGTAGGATGACAGGTGGGTGAGCCACCAGCGCCCGGCAGAAGAATGCTTTTCTAAAGTAAGTCTTTGATATCTTTTAACCTACAAATATTTAATAGATGCTTATTATGTATCCAATATCCTGAAAGAGACTTTGTAGAACTGTCTAGACCCAGTCTAGAGCTCAGTTTTACAATTTTGCAGTTTTTACAATTTTTACAATTTTTTGCAGTTTTACAATTTATGAAGAATTAAAACACACACAAATTTACATTATAAAATATATAGTCACATTAGTATTTACCATTTAGATACCGTAGGATCAGATGGTTCATTGGAAATAAGCTCTCATGGACTTTCTACCTTCCTCAGGCTGGCTTTGAGCCTGTATCCTCAGATCTCAGCCTGCTGAGTAGTTAGGATTACAGGCATGGGCCACTAGTGCTTGGCTTGTTTTGTGGTCATTTATTATCCAGCAAGAGATAACTAATAGAAACCAATCTTAGGAGTTAGTGGCAGCTGGGGGAGAAACTTCCCTTTATGTCTATTCTGCTTCCAAAATATTGTGATCAGAGACAGACAGAATTGAGTTACTAAGGAGATAAATAAGGAAAACTGCTGTAGAAAATAATTTGAACGTGAGAAGGGGAGGTGATGAAGATGACCTCGTAATGCCTGGATTTGGAGAAAATAAACTAGGCCTAGTCACTTAAAACTTGGGGAGTTTGAAAACTCAAGGAAAAGGAACATTAAAGAAGTCCAAAGGGGGAGGAGGCGGAGGTGATGGAGGAGGGAGAAAAGGAGAGGGAAGGGGGGAAAACAGAGGAGGAGGAAGGGGAGGAAGGGGGGTGGGGAGAGGGAAAGGGAAGGAGGAGGGAAAGGGACGGTGAAGGAGGAGGGGTAAAGAAAGGGGAGAAGAGTCATTCTGAAAGGCCAGGATGTGGGCAGGGCTCAGAGAGACCGAACCCGATCCTTGAGCGCTGTGGAGTTCGCAGTCAGGACCGTGTCGGATGGAATCAGTTGTGTGGAATTAGTGACACCTCTAGGAGACACAGGTAAGAAACTGGAAGGTTCAGAGTCAAGTAAGCAGCATCCGTACCATTTTAACCGTAAGGAAAGGCTGGAATTTGAATCCAGATCTTACACTTTGATGTCCTTCTTACTATCCAAAGGGGAGTAAAACCGAGAACGAGGGCGGACGGGGAGCAGCACTTCCGAGGTACAGTAGAGGCTGCGCCCAGCCAGGCCGCCTGCCCGCCGCGGTCCTCCGTGCCGCCAGCAGGGGTCACCAGCACGAGTCCCCAGGCTCGGCAGCGTGAGACGTGCGCAGGCGCGTGCGCAGGCGCACACCCTCCCTCTCCCCTCTGCGCTCGCGCGGGGGTGCTGGGCCGGCGGGGGCGGGGACACGGCGGGGCGGCCGTGAAGGCGGCGGAGGCTCGAGCCCGGAGCGTGCGGGGGTCGAGCGGCTGGCTCCAGCGGAACGAAGCGCCGCGCCGTGCTGTGCTGCCGACTCGGACGCCCGCCGCTGAGCCATGGAGATTGGCACCGAGATCAGCCGAAAGATCCGGGTGAGGCCGGCGTCAGCCGGTGCCGGGCGGCCGGCGGGGAACCAGGCCCGGCGGGCGGTTGCCAGGAGTAACGGGGCCGGGGGGCTCGTCCCGCCGCGCCGCCTCGTCGTCACCGCTTCCGGTCTTGGCGACAGCGGCGGGCCTCGGGGGGGGGGGGGGTGGTCGCGGCCGGGTCCCCGGGGACGCGTGCGGGAATGGCGGGAGTCGCGCAGCGAGGCCGAGGCGCAACTCGTGCGTCGCGGGCCGCGGCGGAGGGGGGAGGGGAGAGGAGGGGAGGGAGGGGAGGTCGAGGCACCTCCCCGCCCCCTCCCGGCGGCCCCGGGGCGGGAGTGCGCCGCGCGCGCGCGCGGTGGGGCCCCCGGGGCGGGAGTGCGCCGGGTGGGGGCGGTGGGGCCCCCGGGGCGGGAATGCGCCGGGCGCGCGCGCGCGGTGGGACCCCCGGGGCGGGAGTGCGCCGGGTGGGGGCGGTGGGACCCCCGGGGCGGGAGTGCGCCGGGCGCGCGCGCGGTGGGACCCCCGGGGCGGGAGTGCGCCGGGTGGGGGCGGTGGGGCCCCCGGGGCGGGAGTGCGCGGGGCGCGCGCGGTGGGGCCCCCGGGGCGGGAGTGCGCCGGGCGCGCGCGCGCGGTGGGACCCCCGGGGCGGGAGTGCGCCGGGCGCGCGCGCGGGGTCCCCCGGGTGAGGCGCGCGCCACCTCCCCCCCGGGGGTGCGTAAGGGGGGCGCGCGCGGGCGCGACGCCGCGGAAGGTCCGCTCGCCTGCTGTTCTCACCTTTGCTTTATCTCCCCCCCCCTCCCCCGCCTAGAGTGCCATTAAAGGGAAATTGCAAGAATTAGGAGCTTACGTGGGTAAGTTTTGCCTTGTTGTTAAACCTACGAGAATGCCTGTAGGCTTCGCAGCTTTCCGTATTTTAGGCGTGCTTTTGACCTTCGACCCAATGTCGCCTTGGTGGGTTCTTCTTGGGCTGCGTTTTATGGAACAGTCTGGCAATCAGCAACCTCCTCTCTCTCTTTCTCCCTTCCTTCTTTCCTGTCGTGGGGCCTGCACTCTGAGCCCACTATCTGGACGCTGTCCCTCAGCTCTTCAGCTCAAGGCTAGCGCTCTACCACTTGAGCCCCAGCGTCACTTCTGGTTTTTTCTGCGTATGTGGTGCTGAGGAATCGAACCCAGGGCCTCATGCATGCGAGGCAAGCGCTCTACCAGTGAGCCACCTTCCCAGCCCCAACCTACCTCTTCTTCCAGTCTCTACTACACCTTCTTCCCCAACTCTAATATGATGTTTTGAGTTTACTTTTCTGAGTTAAGACTGTGGCTTAATTTTCTGTAATGTGTCAAATTTGTGTGTGTGTGTGTATACACATACTTGTGTATGTGTACTGGAGCTGGAATTCAGGTTCTAGACGCTGCTCCCTTAGCTTTTGTGCCTATGCCTGAGACTTTTATCAACTTGAGCCACAGTTCCACTTCTGGCAATTAATTGGAGATGAGCCTCATGGACTTTCTTGTCCAGGCTGGCTTTAAACTGCAGTCTCAGATCTCAGCCTCATGAGTAGCTAGGATTATAGTTTTGAGCCACCAGTGTTCAGCTGATTCACTGAGTTTTATCTTTAGATCTTGAATGTTCATCTACTACTGTCAGAATGAGTTTTCACTGGGCCATGTGCCTGGCCTTTGCTGATTCTCTGTGTGTGTTCTCTATGTACTTAACATACCCAAGAAAACACTGAAAAGGTATGTGATAATATCCATAGTTGTTCAGACAGGAAAGTCTGAGTTTTGCCTACTTTAGCAAAGTTTTATTGAGACCTGGGACAGTTTGACTCTAAAGCTGGTAGTTCCTAGAAAAATGATAGCTACTTTTTTTTCTCCAGTCCTGAGGCTTGAACTCAGGGTCTAGGCACTGTCCCTGAGCTTTTTTTGCTCAAAGGCTAGCACTCTTACCACTTGAGCCATAGTGTCACTTCCAGTTTTCTGCTGGTTTATTAGAGATGATTCTCAAAGACTTTCCTCCCACGGTCCTCAGACCTCAGCATTTTAAGTAGCTAGCATTACAGGCATGAGCCACCAGTGCCCAGCTCTGAAGATAACTTTTATAGGGAACAGTTTGTTGCCAGGCACATAGGCTTACCCCTAGAATTCCAGCTATGTTGGACTTGTAAGTCCAAGGATCCTGGGGGTTGAGGGTAGGGGGACAGAGACCCTTACTGAAAGACAGCTAAAGCAGAAAGGGCTTGGGGTATGTCTGAAGTGGTAGAGTACTTGCTTGGCTAGCAAGCATGCAGTCCTGAGTTCAAATCCCAAACTAGCTGAAGAAAGGGAGGAAAAACAGATGTATGTGATTGAGTTGAACACCAAGTTAGCCACTAAATTTTCCTGAAACATTTTTTTGTTGTTGTTGGTCGTAGTGCTTGAACTCTGGGCCTGGGTGCTGTCCCTCAGCTCAAGGCTAGCACTGTACCTTGAGCCACTGCACAGCTTCCCGTTTTCTGGTGATTTATTGGAGATAAGAGTCTCACAGCCTTTCCTGTCCAGCTGGCTTTGGACCGTGATCCTCATATCTCAGCCTTCTGAGAAGCTAGAATCACAGGTGTGAGCCACCAGTGCCCAGCTTCCTGAAGCTTTTTTTTTTTTCTTTGTTCGGTCATGGGGCTTGAACTCTGGGCTTGGGTGCTGTCCCTGCGCTCTTCAGCTCAAGGCAAGCGCTCAACCACTCGAGCCACAGCGCCACTTCCTTCCTGAAACATTTTTAACTCCATCCCCACCATCATCCCCTACAGAACCTACAGCTTGTAATATGGACCTGGCATGCTCAACACTAGCACTGTTATCACTTGAGCCACTGCTTTTCAGCTTTTTGGTCGTTTTTAGAGATAGGAGTCTCAGACTTTCCTGCCCAGGAATCACAGTCCTCAGATCTCAGCTTCCTGAGTAGCTAAGATGCATATTCTTAGATATTTTGGCAGATGTAGGGGTTAAAAACAAACAAACAAAAAAAACTTTGTTGCCAATGATAAGTAAATTGAACTTAGAAATAAAAATTCGAGTTTTGGAAAATTTGTATCTACTTTCATGAACTTGACAGCTTCCCAGTACTGGAAGACTTTGTGATGACTGTGGAGAAACTTAACAGACTTAAAACTTGTTGTGTTTCAGTGTAGTATCAAAGAAGACTCTATGTTATCTGTAAAAGCTATTAAAATGTTCCTTTTCCAACTATATATCCGTGAGACTAAGTTTTCTTCACATTTTTCAATGTGAACATTACCACATCAGATTAAATGGAAAAAACAACAATTAGAATCTATATGTCTTTTAAACCAGATAGTAAAGTGAGTTGTGCCTCAAATGCATGAGGCCCTGGATTCGATTCCTCAGCACCACATACACAGAAAAAGCCAGAAGTGGGCTCTGTGGCTTAAGTGGTACACCTCTAGCCTGAACTGAAGAGTTCAGGGATAGCGCCCAGGCCCAGAGTTCAAACCCCATGACTGACCAAAAAAAAAGGTAGAAAGTAAGCTGGCTGCTGGTGGCTCATGCCTGTAATCCTAGCTGCTCAGAATGCTGAGATCTGAAGATCACCATTCAAAGCCAGCGTGGGCAGCAAACTGTTTGCACTAAACCTTTGTTTTAGAAATTTTAATATAGGGCTGGGAAGGTGGCTCAGTGGTAGAGCGCTTGCCTTGCATGCCTGAGGCCCTGAGTTCGATTCCTCAGCACCACATAAGCAAAAAGAAGAAATTTTAATATAAATAAAAATTGTGTTAATTTATTGGGCTAATGTGATAGGAGTACTATTCTGAAATAAATTATTTAAAATTAGCCATTTTAATTTAATCCTCTGGGAAATGAATGCACTCTTGAGATTTCTATAATCTAGCTGGGTGCCGGTAGCTCACACCTGTAATCCTAGCTACTCAGGAGGCTAAGATCTGAGAATCTTGGTTCAAAGCCAGCCGGGGCAGAAAGCCCATGAGACTTACCTCCAGTAAACCACCAGAAGTGGCACTATGGCTCAAGTGGTAGAGCACTAGCCTTGAGCTGAAGTTCTGAGGGGACAGCGCTCAGGGTCAGAGTTCAAGTCCCATGACTGACAAAAAAAAAAAGAAGATTTCTATAATCTGAGATGCCTTGTTTTATAAGTAGAAACTCAACAACTATTCATTATTCTCCACTTTCTAATAATTAGACTTGTGTAATGAAAAGGAAGAAAAATTTGGCTGGGAATTTGGTTTAGTGGTAGAGTGCTTCATGAGGCCTGGGGTTTATTCCTTGGTACCACATAAACAAAAAATAAGTAATTAAAAAAAATTAAAGCTGAGCTTTCTTGTCTAGTCTAATATAATTCCAGTATAGAATGAGATACAATTTTGAAAGCTGGATTTGTATTTTCAGTTACATCAACTTTAAATATTAAATATGAAGGAAAGAAAGTTTTGATATAATTTTCCTTTTAAATAGACGAAGAACTTCCTGATTACATTATGGTGATGGTGGCCAACAAGAAAAGTCAGGACCAAATGACAGAGGACCTGTCCCTGTTTCTAGGGAACAACACAGTTCGGTTCACCGTGTGGTAAGTTTCAGACTCTCTATGTCTTAGACTAAAGTTTAGGGAAAATCAGAGTGTTCTGTCTAAAATAAGGTGCTTGCCATTCCAGTTCAGTGTAGAGAGGCAATTTGTGTGTGCTAAGTGCGCAGCCTCTGGAGCCTTGTTTCTTCATGTGTGAAAGGATAGTTAATTACCTGTTTTACAGAATTACCATGAGAATGAAGTCAGCTAATGTTGTTTGCCTGTTTGCCTATGTCATCTGTAGGTAGCTTTCTTTTGGTAATTTCTGCATCTCAGTGCTTTTTCCTCTGAGCAAAGACTGCTACATTACTGAGTACTAGATGTAGATTGGTTTCTCTACTGCATTTTCCTTCCAGTGAGTTACCTTATACCAGACAGTTTTACTACCCCTTATCCCTAGCCTTTTTTCAGTTTGTAAACCTGTATGCATTCAACAAAAATCTCAGTCATATTTATATCTTGGAATTTAAAAGAAAGAAAAATAAACAATTTGTGTATGTATGTTTTGTCAGTCCCTTGAGGCTTGAACTCAGGGCCTGGATTCTGTCCCTGAGCTTTTTTGCTCAAGGCTAGCACTCTACATTTGAGCCACAGCTCCACTTCTTATTTTGGTTGGTGGTGGGGCTTGAACTTTAGGCATGGGCGCTCACTGTCCGTTAGCTTGTCAGCTAAAGGCCAGTGCTCTACCACTTGAGCCACAGCATCACATTTAGTTTTTAGGTGGTTATTTGGAGGTAAGAGTCTCAGGAAGGGGCTGGGAAGGTGGCTCAGTGGTAGAGTGTTTGCCTTGCATGCATGAGGCCCTGGGTTCGATTCCTCAGCACCACATAAGCAAAAAGAAAAAAGCTGGAAGTGGCGCTGTGGCTCAAGTGGTAGAGCGCTAGCCTTGAGCTGAAGAGCTGAGGGACAGCGCCCAGGCCCAGAGTTCAGGCCCCAGGACCGGACCCCCCCCCCCCCCCCAAAAAAAAAAAAAAAAAAAGTCTCAGGGACTTTGCTGCTTGTGCTGGCTTTGACCCACAATCCTCAGATATCGGCCTCCTGAGTAGCTAGAATTAGAGGTGTGAGCCACCGGTGCCTGGCAACAAGAAGTTTAAAAAAAAAATTAACTTTTGAAGTCTTTAAATTCTATTTCCAGCATGGAGAGCAGGGAATGTTTTTCTTTTTCCCTACTTTAATCTTGTTATACTGAATTAAACCCTTGTTAAGATCTAAAAAGGAGACATTAATCTTATTATTGATCTGTTGTCTTATACCTTATCTGTTTATAATGTTGGAAAATATGGAATAGCAATCTTGAGTGAAGCTTTTTGTTTTTGTTTTTAGGCTTCACGGTGTATTAGATAAGCTTCGTTCTGTTACAACTGGTAAGATTTGTAACATTGAGGGTTTTGGGAATTCTTGGCACTGTAGCATATGAATTTTTAGTTTTAAAACTCATGGGGAAAAGGTTAGGGAAAAAAGGCTCCAAAACTTTGAAAACAGTGGTTTATTTGAGCTTTGTAAAGAACTACTTTTTCTTTTCTTTTTTTTTTTTGTCAGTCGTGGGGCTTGAACTCTGGGCCTGGGCGCTGTCCCTCAGCTCTTCAGCTCAAGGCTAGTGCTCCACCACTTGAGCTACAGCACCACTTACAGTTTTCTGGTGGTTTATTGGAGATAAGAGTTTCACGGAGGACTTTTCTGCCAGGACTAGTTTTGAACTGCGATCCTCAGATTTCAGCCTCCTGAGTAGTTAGGATTACAAGCGTGAGCCACCTGTGCCCAGCAAGAACTACAATTTTATAAATATCAGATCAGTAAATTTAGTGTGATTTGATAATAACTATGAAAGGGTGCGCCTTATCCTAAAAGTAATTATACACGTACAAATAATTAACCTCAAAAACTAGTTGTCTTGTTATTGTGTAACTGAAAAGTACTTACAAGTCCAGTAATAAGTTGAATAAGTTATTATTATGTATAGAATGATTCTCAAATACAAAAACGTCTTGTTTTTTAAAACATGTATTAAAATTTTTTAAAACATGTATTTAAAAAAATCATCTTTTATGTAATAGGTGATTATATTTTAAAACTTTAAATAAACCTCTATTGCTTTTGAGTTGGTGAAGAGAAAGTTTAAAGTAGTGAAAAGAGATTAAACTAGACCATGTGTTTTTCTTCCCAGAGCCTTCTAGTCTAAAGTCTCCGGATACCAACATCTTTGATAGTAATGTGCCTTCAAACAAGAGCAGTTTCAGCCGGGGAGATGAGAGAAGGCATGAAGCCACAGTGCCTCCCCTCACCATTTCTAGTACTAGATCTGAGAAAAGAGATTCCAGAGGTTCTTCAAGTTCACAGGAACAGAAAACCACTAGTGTTAGGTAAGAATCCTATATAGGTCTAATGGGGGCAAATGGGTGTTTGTATGTGGCATTTGTATTTTGCTGTTCTTTTTTTTATTGGTCATGGGGCTTGAACTCTGGGCCTGAGCTCTGTCCCTCAGCAATTCAGCTCAAGGCGAGCGCTCTACCACTTGAGCTACAGTGCCACTTCCGGTTTTCTAGTGGTTTATTGGAGATAAGAGTTTCATGGACTTACCTGCTCTGGTTGGCTTTGAACTGCGATCCTCAGATCTCAGCCTCCTGAATAACTAGGATTAGAGGCGTGAGCCACCAACGCCCAGCTACATTTTTTCTTACCTTTCAGTTTCTGTTTTCAGAAATTTTTGAAAATAATGAGTGACTTTTTAAATAAAATAATGGGTAAATCTAAGTGATTATCTTCTATTTCAAATGTAGCAAAGTTATAAAAAATTTAAAGGCTGGGAAGGTGGCTCAGTGGTGGAGTGCTTGCCTTGCATGCATGAGGCCCTGGGTTCGATTCCTCAGCACCACATAAGCAGAAAATGCCAGAAGTAGTGCTGTGGCTCAAGTGGTAGAGTGCTAACTTTGAGCTAAAGAGCTGAGGGTCAGGCCCAGAGTTCAGGCCCCATGACTGGCCCTCCCCCCTAAAAAATGTAATTTAAAAATACTTTTGATTAAAACATATAAAGGAAGTACCCATATTTATTCACTAATTTTTTAAGTGTTCTTTGAATATTTGGAGATGAAATTGCCCTCATTGATGAACATGATAGCTCAAGCCTGTAACCTTAGCTGCTTAGGAAGAAGAGATTAGAGGATCTTGGTTTGAGGTTAGTGCATGGGGGGGAAAAAGTTTGAGAGAGACTATCTCAACTAGTGGCGGGGTGCAGTGGCTTGAGCCTGTCTTCTCAGCTTCAGGAGAAGAAGCATGATGGGTGGGTACAGTGACATGGAACCTGTCATGTCCTCTGCAGCCTGGGGTTGCACAGGTAAGATCGCAGTCCTGACGTGCTCAGACAACAGGAGACCCTATATAAAATATAACCAACACAAGCCGAGTGCCAGTGGCTCACATGTATAATCCTAGCTAATCAGGAGGCTGAGATCTGGGGATGATGGTTTGATGCCAGCTTGGGCAGGACAGTCTGTGAGACTTTATCTCCAATTAACTGCCAAAAAAAAAAGGTCAGAAGTGGAGCTGTGGCTCAAGTGGTAGAGTGCTAGTCTTGAGTTCAAAAGCTCAGGGACAATGCCCAGGCCTTGAGTTCAAGACCCTGGACTGGCCCCAGAAAAATCCCCCAAACACAAAAGGGGTTAGTAGAATAGCTCATGTGGAAGAGTGCTTGCAGGCCCTGAGTTCAAACTCCAATATCACAAATTACATATGTACATATATATATTTTTGAAGCATATGTATAGTTCTAATTTGGTTGTAATACACTTTTTTTTTTTTTTTAATAGACAGACTTATGATGATGGTGCTGCAACCCGACTAATGTCAACAGTGAAACCCTTGAGGGAGCCGGCACTCTCTGAAGATGTGATTGACATTAAGCCAGAGCCAGATGACCTCATTGATGAAGACCTCAATTTTGTACAAGAGAATCCTTTATCTCAGAAGAAACCTACAGTGACACTTACATACGGTTCCTCTCGTCCTTCTATTGAAATTTATCGACCACCTGCAAGTAGAAATGCAGATGGTGGTGGTCATTTAAATAGGTTGCAATTTCAGCAGCAGCAAAACAGTATTCATGCTGCCAAGCAACTCGAAATACAGAATAGCCAGGTGTATGAAACAGGACGTTTGTGCGAACCAGAATTGCTTAACAGTTTGGAAGAGACTTACAGTCCCTTCTTCAGAACCAGCTTGGAAAAAATGAGTATGGAGGTTTGTATGTTTTTTGTTTTTTTCCTTTTTGGTCATAGGGCTTGAACTCTGGGCCTGGGCTCTGTCCTGAACTCTTTTGCTCAAAGCTAGTAGTACTCTACCACTTTGAGCCACAGCCCTACTTCTGATTTTCTGGTGGCTAATTGGAATTAAAAGTGTCATGGACTTTCTTGCCCTGTCCATCTATGAACTGCAGTTCTCAGATCTCAGCCTCCTTAGTAGGTTGAAATTATACAGGCATGAGCCACTAGTACTCTGCTGTTTTTTATTTTTTTTAATGTGTTGAGGTGCTTCTTCCTCTATTACTAGGATTTGAACTTGGATCTTATACTTGCTAAGCAGACAGTTAATGCTGAGCCTTAAATCAGTTTCTTCAGCGCGCGCGCGTGTGTGTATGTGTATATTATATATTTTAAATTGGGGCTTAATTGATATTAAATAGCATGTGAAGTAACTAAACACATAATATTTATTTATTTTGCCAGTCCTGGGGCTTGAACTCAGGCCCTGGGTGCACTGTCTCTGGGCTGCTCATTTTGCTCAAGGCTAGCACTCTACCACTTGAGCAGCCACAGCACCACTTCTGGCTTTTTTTGTGTATGTGGTACTGAGGAATTGAACCCAGGCTTCATGCATGCAAGACAAGCACTCTACCACTAAGCCACATTCCTAGCACCCTATACATTTATTTTTAAGCTGATTTCTCTGGTATACAGTGTATTATCCCAGTCATTTTTTTTCTCCCATGGCCAGTTCCTTAGGTTTTATATATATCTGTACACACACAAACATACCTTTGCTTTCTTGGGATGTCTAGTGTTTGAGTTATCTATTGGGTTAGCTATAAATTGTAATTTTGGATGGTTTATAGGTTTTAGATTTTTTACGTTGTTAAGAGAACAACCAAGTAACTACTTTCTTCAATAGTATTGGATGTAGCTGTTTATAAAATGAATATTAGGCTCTTGTTTTAGCTGAAGTTGATAGTTTAAGGTATATATATATATATATTTATTTTTTAGCTTTTGGCTTTGAACCATGATCCTCAATCTCAGCCTTCTGAGTAGCTAGGATTATCACAAACAGGAGCCAACACCAACACCTAGCTCCTTGTTATTTTTTTTTGGGAGGGGAGGAGGGCTTGGTCGTGGAGCTTGAACTCTGGGCCTGGGTGCTGTCCTTCAGCTATTCAGTGCAAGGCTACCACTTGAACCACAGCGCCACTTCTGGCTTTTTCTGTTTATGTGGTGCTGAGGAATTGAATCCAGGGCCTCAGGCATGCAAGGCAAGCATTCTACCACTGAGCCACCTTCTCAGCCCCTCTTTGTGATTTTTTTTTTCCCCTAGTTGTGGGATTTGAACTCTGGGCCTGGGCGCTGTCCCTCAGCTCTTCAGCTCAAGGCGAGCGCTCTACCACTTGAGCTACAGCGCCACTTCCGGTTTTCTGGTGGTTTATTGGAGATAGGAGTCTCATGGTCTTTCCTGCCCAGGCTGGCTTTGAACCGTGATCCTCAGATCTCAGCCTCCTGAGTAGCTAGGATTACAGGCGTGAGCCACCAGCGCCCGGCTGACTTGAATTCTTAATATGACTATTTTCTTTATGTTCCTGTGTGAGTACTGGGCTTGAACTCAGGACCTCATAATGTTACCTCTTGTTTAGCTTTTTTGCTGAAGGGCCATGTTCAGCTTAAGCTAACCTCTACTTCTGACTTTGCTGGTTAGACATGTGTCTCAGATTTGTCTGCACGGGCTGGCTTTAAATTGTGATCCTCAAGTCTTGGCTCCTGAGTAGTTAGGATGACCAACATGAACTATCAGTGCTTGACCTTTTTCTTAAACAAATGTTTTGTGGTAGAACTTTGTTGTTTTCTGAGACTAGATTAGCATAAATTTATCTGATTGCAGGATGAAAACTTTCGGAAGAGAAAGTTGCCTATGGTAAGTTCAGTGGTTAAAGTAAAAAAATTCAGTCATGATGGAGAAGAGGAGGAAGAAGATGATGATTTTGGCTCCCGAACAGGAAGTGTGTCCAGCAGTGTGTCAGTGCCAGCAAAACCTGAAAGGAGGTAACTGAACATGGCTGTGGATTAATCTTTAACTGCCAGAAACCCCGTATACTTGGTAGGCAAGCGTTTTGTTACCACAGAGCTACACTTCTGGCTTGCCTGGGTATCTTGACGATGATAATTATTGAAATAATTAGTGTCAGATGTACGACATTTTTCATTGCCCTTGAGATTGGGGAAAAATTTTACAATAGAGAGGGCCAAAGGGTGGTGATCATGTAAATAACTGCAATTTCAAATGTTTTGAAAGCACATTTTTTGAAACTCTTTTAGACCTTCTCTTCCACCTTCTAAACAAGCAAACAAGAATCTAATTTTGAAGGCTATTTCTGAAGCTCAAGAATCTGTAACAAGAACAACTAACTATTCTGCAGGTAACTTAAATCTTGTATGTTTTTCTTGGGTGCAATTTTTAAGTATTTTATTGGCATTGTTTTACAAGGGAAATGAATATACATGTATACATTGTACCTCTTCAATCTCACCCTTTATCACCCTTTGTTATTTCCCCCTTTTCCCTTAAAATAGTTTCATTATTCTGTTTTTATATATTCATATAAAGTTCTTCAACTATATTCATCCTCTGCCACCGTTCACCCCTTCCAGTGATATTTGCTCTCTGACAGAGCTTGTTAAGCTCGTGTGTGTGTGTGTGTGTGTGTGTGTGTGTGTGTGTGTGTGTGTGTGTGTGTGTGTGTGTGTGTGTGTGTGTGTGTGTGTGTGTGTGTGTGTGTGTGTGTGTGTGTGTGTGTGTGTGTGTGTGTGTGTGTGTGTGTGTGTGTGTGTGTGTGTTAATGGACCCAGGGGTTGATGGATGCTATTTTTTTTTTTCCTTTTGTGCTAGTCCTGGGGTTTGAACTCAGCTTGGGTTCTATCCCTGAGCATTTTTGTGCTCAAGACCAGGGTTCTACTACTTGAGCCACAGCTCCACTTCTGGCTTTTTAGAGGTTAATTAGAGACAAGAGTCACATGGAGTTTCTTACTTAATCTCACTTCTAACAACAGTCCTCAGATCTCATTCTCTTGAGTAGCTAGGATTCCGGGAATGAGTCACTGGCTCCTGGGTCCCTGAATCTCTTTGAATGAGCTCCTTCCTGAAGGGAAGTAAAGTGCCATAGTTTTTGATCTTGATATTTTCTGTTGCTTTTGTTCATCTCTAACCTTGGACAGCTTTGGCATATAGCTTATCAGGCAAAGGCCAGCATTCAACCTAAAATTTCATACCTTTACATTCTCTTCTTTTACCATCAATATACGAATGATGAGATTTTGAGAGTTCCTATGATCTTGGAATATTCTTTCTTCAACTAAGTTACACGTCATGAAGCAGCTTTAAACAGCTTTGGTTAGAAATAAGTCCATATGTGTTGTATTATATTCATGGCAATATGGCTTAAATTGTGTAGCAACATTATTTATGTGCATTTAGGTAATGAGTCAGATGTCTGTCTTAGGAATGTTATAAGAAAAACAGGTGGTATCCTTGGATGAGGTGCATTAAACCTAGGAAAGCATTTATTGTTGAATCTGATATGGTCATTGTTGAGTTTTTTTGTGTTAATAGCATTTGCTTTGTCAACTCTTGCTTTTATATAAAAGTCCCACAGAAACAAACACTTCCAGTTGCTCCCAGAACTCGAACTTCTCAAGAAGAATTGTTAGCAGAAGTAGTCCAAGGGCAAAGTAGGACACCTAGAATAAGTACCCCCATTAAAGAAGAGGAAACAAAAGGAGATTCAATAGAAAAAAACCAAGGTAAGAATGTAGTGATATTTCATTCTCTGTTCATGAGACATTAAGTATTTTCAAGTACATTTTTATGGAACATTACTTATGCGATGAAAAAAGGTGATCTCCTTAGGCTCAAATAGAGAATGGGAAGCTAGGTAGAGAATTCATGCCTGTTTTCCAGAAATTTTAACAAGCTTTTATTATAGAAAATTTCAGTGTTCTCAAAGGTGGAAAGGCTGGCCATAAATGTCTGTCGATCACATCTAAATAATTATTAGTATTTTGCTGGTCTGTAAAGAGTCCTACTTAAGGACATAGTTATTTTCTCATTTTTCCTTTCCATCTTACTGTTGATACTGTTCCTGTTCTTCCCAGCTTGAAACTACATTCTGTTACCATTCTGCCTTTGTATCCTGCTGTATTTCTCAATGGCTCTGCTTCTTCGTGCCTACCACGCTAAGAGCAGTTAGCTTTCAGCTGACTTCTGAACTTTTTTTTGGTCAGTTGTGGGGCTTGAACTCTGGGCCTGAGCGTTGTCCCTCAGCTCTTCAGCTCAAGGCTAGCGCTCTACTACTTGAGTCACAATGCCACTTCCTGACTTCTTAACTTTTATTTAACTTCTTATCTACCCAACTTCTGCACAAATAGTCTCTTTTTTATTTTTATTATTTTTTTATTTTTTCCTCCCTCCCCCCTTATTTTTATTTTTTTGTGCCAGTCTTGGGACTTGAACTCAGGGCCTGGGCATTGTTCCTAAGCTTTTGTGCTCAAGGCTAGTTGGTGTTCTACCACTTGAACCATAGCTCCTTTTTTGCATTTTGGTGTTTAATTGGAGAGAAAAGTCTCACAGACTTGTCCTGCCTGTGCTGGCTTTGAAGCATAGTGTTTAGATCTCAGCCTCCTGAGTAGGTAGGATTACAGGCATGAGCCACTGGCACCTGATTCCATCTCTTTTTTTACATGTGTCTGAAGGTGACTAACAGCAATGGCTAAATTAGTCATGCTGCTGATTCACCTCCAAAGGTTGTTTAGCACATCAGAAATACTTTTTATCCTGATAAAAATGACAAGGAAATGTGCACTTTTTAAAAAATGCTGGTACTGAGGTGTGAACTCACGGCCTCATGGTTTTCTTAGCTTTTTATGCCAAATCTGCTCACACTTACCACTTGAGCCACATCTTCACTTTTAGCTTTTTGCTGGTTCGTTGTAGAGCAGAGTCTCATGGACTTTCCTGCCTGGGCTGCCTTTGAACTGTGATCCTCAGATCTCAGCCTCCTGAGTAGCTGACAGGCATGAATCTCTAGTGCCTGACATAATATGACTTATTTTTTTTGGGGGGGGGAGGGGGATCCGGTTGTGGGGCCTGAACCCTGGGCCTGGGCGTGTCCCTCAGCTCTTCCGCTTAAGGCTAGTGCTCTACCACTTGAGCCACAGTGCCACTTCCGGCTTTTTTTCTTTTTGCTTATGTGGTGCTGAGGAATCGAACCCAGGGCCTCATGCATGCAAGGCAAGCGCTCTACCACTGAGCCACCTTCCCAGCCCAATATGACTTATTTTTTGTTCAGTCATAAGTCTTAAACTTGAGGCCAGGCACTATCTCAGAGTTTTTGTGTTCAAAGCTTAACACGTACCACTTTGAGTCACAGCTGCACTTCCAGCATTTAGGTGGCTATTTGGTGATGAGAGTCTCACAGACTTTCCTGCTTGTGCTCTCTTCTAACCTTGATCCTGAGAACTCAGCCCGCTGAGTTGCCAGGATTGCAGGAATGAGCCACCAGTGCCTGGCAATATGACTTCTTTGTGAGACCTTCTCCCTTTTTCTTTACTGTTCAGCATGAATGCCATCATTTTCAACTTCAGACAGCTCTGTTGTCTCTGGCCACTGTCACCCACTCCTTCCTGCTCTCAGACTTGTTCTTTTTGTTCCTATTAGGAAAGATGCTTGATGAAACCCTGTGCTTGAGCCTACTTGGCAAGTGCTTGGAGCTTCATTCCCAATCCCTTAGTATTTTTCCCCGCTATATTATGTAATTTGACATGGTAGCATTAGAAAGTATTTCAGTAAATGCTGAACCTGAGAAAAGAAAACCCCATAACAGCCAATAAGTATTGAAAGTGTAACAGTATCTTACAAGCATGAGAAGAATATCTGCAAGCCGAGAGACATCTTACCCTAATAATATTAGGTAAGGCTTAAAGGGCCTGTAACAATCATTTTATAAACTTAAGTTAACTGCACTACTGTTGTCTTCAACGACGACAGATTACTGGGCTTGGGTATCTCTGCTACAGTTCAAATTGAAGATCCTAGTTTTAATCCACAGGACTCAAGCTAAAGGAAAATTTACACCATTTCAGAGTGAGCTAGAAGACATTAAGAAAACATGAAGCAGGGGCTGGGAAGGTGGCTCAGTGGTAGAGCGCTTGCCTTGCATGCCTGAGGCCCTGGGTTCGATTCCCCAGCACCACATAAGCAAAAAGAAAAAAAGCCAGAAGTGGTGCTGTGGCTCAAGTGGTAGAGCACTAGCCTTGAGCTGAAGAGCTGAGGGACAGTGCCCAGGCCCAGAGTTTAGGCCCCACGACTGGACCCCAAAAAAAAAAAAAAGAAAAAAAAAAGAAAACATGAAGCATGCAAAAACAACACAAAGCAGACTTAGAAAATCTTTGAAATGGGATGGCAAAAATTATAAATAGAAAATTTAGAAATGAACATGCTATAAGCCTGAGGCACTAGATTCAAGCCTAGCACCCTAAAATGAGTAAACTAGAAAAGAACTCAAATTTAGTGTGTCTTAAGATGGGTACTGGTGGCTCACACCTGTAATCCTAGCTACTCAGGCTGAGATCTGAAGATCACAATTCAAAGCCAGCCCAGGCAGAAAAGTCTATGAGGCTCCAGTAAACTTGAGAAATGTCAGATAAACTTCAGAGTCAGAAGTGTAGCTGTGGCTCAAAGTGGTAGAATGCTAACCTTGAGCAAAAAAGCTCAGGGACAGTGCCTGAGTTTCAAGCCCCAGGACTGGCTAAAAAGAAGAAAAAAGAAATTGAAAAATAAAAAATCTTGCTAAAAAGATAAAAGCGGAAGAGGGCTGGGAAGGTGGCTCAGTGGTAGAGTGCTTGCCTTGCATGCATGAGACCCTGTGTTCAATTCCTCAACACCGGGGCTGGGAAGGTGGCTCAGTAGTAGAGCGCATGCCTTGCATGCCAGAGGTCCTGGGTTCGATTCCTCAGCACCACATAAGCAAAAAGAAAAAAGCCGGAAGTGGCACTGTGGCTCAAGTGGTAGAGCGCTAGCCTTGAGCTGAAGAGCTGAGGGATAGCACCCAGGCCCAGCGTTCAGGCCCCATGACTGGACCCCAAAAAAATAAAAAAAAAAATTCTCAGCATCACATAAACAAAAAGAAAAAATGCTAGAAGTCGTGCTGTGGCTCAAGTGGTAGAGCGCTAGCCTTGAGCTGAAGAGCTGAGGGACAGTGCCCAGGCCCAGAGTTCAGGCCCCACAATCGGACCCCCCCCCCCCCCAAAAAAAAAAAAAAAGTAGAAGAATGTTTTAAAATTAAAGAAGAGTTGGGTGCTGGTGGTTATGCCACTTAGGCTGATATCTGAGCATCATATTTTCTTGCTGGTTTCCCCCTTTTTGGGGGTGGGAGGAAGGTTTTGTGTGTGTGTGTGTGTGTGTGTATGTGTGTTATTTTGCCAGGTGGGAGGAAGGGGTGTGTGTGTGTGATTATATTTTCTTGCTGGTTTCCCCCTTTTTTGGGGGTGGGAGGAAGGTGTGTGTGTGTGTGTGTTTGCCAGGTCTGGGGCTTGAACTAGGCACTGTTGCTGAGCTTTTGTGTTCAAAGCTAATATTCTTCTACCACTTTGAGTCAAAAGCCCATTTTTGGCATTTGAGTAGTTAATTGGAGATAAAGAGACTTACAGATTTTCTTGGCTGAATTGGCTTTGAATTGCAATTCCCAGATCTCAGATTCTGAGTAGCTATTGGTTGCATATTTTTTGTCTAGTTCATAATTTAGATGCTCCATATGTGTTCTTAGAGCCTGCTACTGAAATTTTGTCATGAAAATTCAGTTTATTATTCAAAAGTTAATATCCTAACTTCATTCCTAAGTAGCAGAAGAAGTTCACAGAAGCATAGTTTTAGTCTTGAACTTACCACTTTGGTCATTTTTTAGCGGGGGGGGGGGGGGGGGGGGGGGGCGGTTGTGGGACCTGAACTCTGGGCCTGGGCGCTATCCCTCAGCTCTTCAGCTCAAGGCTAGTGCTCTACCACTTGAGCCACAGCACCACTTCCGTCTTTTTTCCTTTTGCTTATGTGGTGCTGAGGAATCAAACCCAGGGCCTAATGCATGCAAGGCAAGTGCTCCACCACTGAGCCACCTTTCCTGCCCTTACTTTGGTCATTTTTTAAAGGCATCAGTTGGTACCATGATTTTGTCTAGATTTTGTCTACATGTGTTAATGATCATTTGATATCTCTTTTTTTTCTTTACAGTTTGAGCAAGGATTTTAATTAACAGGAGAAAGTAGGGAGAAATAGAAACATTTCCTGCCTCCTGCACAGGAAATGGGAAAAGTTAGATTCCTCATCATTTTCTAATACTAAATTTATTTTTTCTTTTTGAGGTACTGGGAATTAACCTCTGGGTCTTGTGCTTGCTAGGCAAGTGCTCTATCACTTGAGGCATGCCCGTAGTTCTATTTAAAATATTTTTGAAGTATAGCCTTTAGAAATTGTTTTAAAGCAGTGTTTGGATTGAACGCTTCCAAGTTTTAAATGACTATAAATATTTTTATTTCTCCTTGTTCTTGTGCAAGTAATTATAAAATTTCCAGAATTTAGCCAGAATTAACTGGCTATCACCCTTTGCATGTATCATTCCCTTGTCTTCTGCTTTCCATTGTTGTTCAGTGGACTTCTGTCTCTCTAATTGTCTGTCATTCCTTTGTAGGTGATCTGTCCTTTCTCTCTGGCTGCTTCCAAGATCTTCTCTTTGTCTTTGATGTTCTGCAGTTTTACTACGATGTTTCTAGGCATGGATTTCTTTGTTTTTCCTGTTTGGTATATGTTGAATGAAAACACCTGTATAATTTAAAATATATTATTTTATAGCATGAAGTATATGTTTACCATAGAATATTTGGGAGAACGTCAATATGTAATGCCTGTTGATAGATCAGAAATATAGCTTAGAAAGACATCACCAGAAGCAGCATCACCCATGTTAGACCTATTGCCCTAGACCCCACTTTCACAGGCTTCTAGTTCATGAGTTTAGTTTTCTTCATATCTGGAATAGTAAGCCTAGTTTATGATGTCTTTAACTGGAGATATTGACTTCTTGCTAAAATTTTCAGGGTCTAACTCAAACACCTTGCCTTGACTCCCAAGTTTGAATAGTGAGATGACTTTTTTTGGGGGGGTGGGGGGGGTCTGTTGTGAGGCTTGAACTCGCCCTGGGTACTGTCCTTGAGCTCTTCTGCTCAAGGTGAGCACTCTACCACTTGAGCCACGGCACCACTTCCCCTTTTTCTTGTGATTAGTTAAGAGATAAGAATCTCACAGACTTTCCTGCCAGTGCTGGCTTTGAACCGTGATCCTCAGATCTCAGCCTCCTGAGTAGCTAGGATTGCAGGTGTGAGCCACAGGCACCCAGCAGTGAGATGACTTTCTACTTCACTTACTGGTTATATTCATGATTTTAAGTAGTATACTTTGATGCTTACTTACATCTGATTGACTGTTTTTCAATATATCCTGGCTTCTCAGTTTCAATATATTTTGATTTCTGAAGCATTAACATTTGTGCTTTGCATGGTGGCACACACCTCTAATTCCAGCATTTGGGAAGCTGAGCATGCTACATCATGAGTACTACGCTTTCCAGGGATGAACATTTTAATTTCTTCCTTACTCCTACCTAAATTGTGTACAATATTTTTATATTGTAGAGTTGATGAAGTTTACTTAAAGTTTTTTTTTGTTGTTGTTGTTACTGGTCTTGGTTTTTGAACTCAGGGCCTGGACACTGCCCCTGAGCTTCTTTTGCTCAAAGCTGGCACTCTACTATTTGAC